CTGAACTTGAAGATTTCTAATTCCATGAAGCACGGGGTTTTGTCACCCAATAATTGAACAAATACTAGTTCCAGTTAGTGAACGGGTGCTTGATGGCCCTTTTTTCTGACAGGATGTGGGTTCTCTGTATAGAAACAATTCATCACAAACACATCACGTTAAAAACAACCCACGAGGAGCAATACTTTGCATTCCTAGTGCACAATTCATTGGAGAATTTCAGAGCAATTTGCAAACATTAGCTCAATAAGCCTCACAACACCCATTTGAGATCAGAAAAAAAATACATAGATAAGATACTCCTCTTCAGCCTGACTGTGGCACTAAGGAGCTGTGAAGCTGGAGGCTCCCCCCAGCTCCCGGTTCCCCAGCGTCTGGTGGTCCCGTACTGACGTGGGCATCAGCTGGTCCTTGCACATCCGTCACAGTCGGTGTGGTGGGAGGTGTGCAGGAAGGATAGAGGTATGAGAGAAATGCCATTATGTGTAGCCTATACTCAGCTGATGTGGAGATCGTTAAGTATCGTAAAAAATAGAACACAAGAAAACTGAGGGAGATAAAATTAGGGTGAGGTTGTGCAAAGATGCCGTTTCCTGGAGTCGCTGATAGTGTCCCTGCAACAGCATCCAGAAAATCTGAGTTCAAGTGAGCATCCCAGCTAGGAGATCACGTCAAGCACGGCAGAAACCCAGTTTGCTTTCAGCTCGACAGCTAAAACCCCTCTACAGATTCTGGGACAGGAGTTTTAAAGAAACATGCATTCAGCTAAACTGGCAGCATCAATTTATTTATACACAGTTTCAGTAAACCTAATAATTTCCCTACTCGCCGCTCTGATATGAGATTGCTTCTTCAGCATTCGCATCCTGTATTAATATTAGGGTCCTGCTCAAGGTTTAACTGAAAAAGGAGTGCTGTGATTAAAGGCACCAGTTTGTGAGATGGGGATACTCCCATAATGCTCCTGTCTGACCCTCAAAGCTCTGCAGGAAGAAGTGCAATGTGGTGCAGCGGCCGCCGTACTTTCTATGGGCTGTGTTTAGGCCATACGGGGTGCTGAAGAAGGGAAGAAGCGCCTGGCTTGCCTCCTGCCAGGAATGCTGTTGGCACACAGAAACTTTTGTGCGGTGCATACAGTGAGAATAGTCACAGTCGCTTATGAAGACTGTAATGAATAAACAAAATCGTTCATATTCTAAATGTAAAAGCTCTGCCTAACCTCGCTATTCAAACACGTATGAAGTTGGGCAGCACAAGCTGCCGGGCTGGCACGCCTGAGAAGCTCCGGGTGAGGAGGCAGTCCTGAGCCTTGCTTGTCATTAGCTGTCAGCCACGAGCCAAAATCCAGACTCACAGAACATTTATTTTAATTATGAAATGTGAAAACATAGTTACTCAAAGAAAAAAAGGAGGCGTTAGGCTGTGAACATCCTCCTGCACGAGGGCAGGACGGTGAGGGTCCCCCCACCTTGCATAGCCTGGAGGGTGGAGACATCCCATATCCCAAGTACAGGAGGCCTGTATAAAGGGGTTTGCGCCTTTCCAAGCTTTTCCTTTTTTTCCTTCCTATAAGTGCTTGCTGTGTTCCCAGGAGGCAATGTTGCTACAAAAACGGTTTATGGGGAGGTGCCTGGATGATAAGGGTTAGTCCTAAATAATTGCTGGCTGCCGCTCAGCAAAAATAAGCTGGATTTCCATCCCTGGGTAGAGTGACTCCTCACAGTTAAAGGCTGGCAAAGGTTGAAGAGGTCGTAAGACAGGGCCTAATTTGCCATGTTCCTTTCCTTTCAAAAACAATGAGGGAAGCGGGGGCCTTGCCGGTGGGCAGATCCCGCCTGGATCTCCCTGGAGTCAGTAGGAGTTGGATCGAGTCCCTTTGAATAGCAAGAGTTTCGAAACCGGAGGCAAAGCCAAGTGTTTTTCAGAGGAATGATCATTCATTACCTTGGAATTTTTCGACGTAGAGGTCATTACTGCTAATATAAGTTGTGAAAAAAATAAAACGTATTAAAAAAATAGAGACAAATTCTCATCTGGTGTAAGTCATTGCCTTTGAAGTCAATGAGTCATTGAAATCAACTTTCCCACACCGAGCTGAGGATATGGCCTGGAGTCAATACATTTGTAGTTGTTGAAAAATTAAAAATATAAATTTGCCTTTCACTGGCAATAATGTTCTGTTTACGACAGAGATCTTACGCTTTAAAATAAGTTCATTAACTAATAGGAAAGTAATATTTCACTACCAGTATTCTTTTGGGTATAACTATTTATGATTAAATTTTATTAAACTTTTTTAAAATTGGATTTACATTTTGATGAATCTAATAGATTTCAATTTTGTATTTTTATAGATTCTTTCTAAAGTTTTTCCTCAAGTGCAATCAGAACTGTTTGAAGAATGCAGGCAACCCGCGAGACATGCGAAGATTCCAGGTACAGATCCCTCTTAAAGAATAAATGACATATAAAAGACTAACTCTCATCTTCATCTTGAATTTTTTTAAATGAAAAACCAGTATCAGAGCTTCTACTTAGTGTAGTTCCAATACTGTGTGCCTTTAAAAAAAATGCTGTAGTTATTTAATGTTTCCCCCACTAATTTAAACACTGGTACTTGGGCCTCACCGAGTTCTGCAGTGGGCTATAATGGGTCAGTGCTGAAGTGAGTGGGTGTCTCCTCAGAAAGCTTTTCCAGTTTTCCTTCATGCTCACACCGTGTGTTGCAGTGTGGAGCGTGCTCGGTCCTGCGGAGGTTTTACATCTGTAGACCGAGTAGCATAATCTTGCTAAGAGACATGACTGTGGAGCCCGGTGAATTTTGTACCTCACACAGGGGTTTTTCCTATTCACAACTTGTAAATCCTACAGTGGTGGTCCAACCCACATGTTTTTATGCCAATTGTGTTAGAAAATGTTTAATACTTCACTTTCTCCCTACAGCTTTTGAAATATCTTGTGGTGAATCATAACACCACTGAGAGACAGCTGATGTGATGGACAAATGATTTATTCTGTATTTGGGGTCCTTTGAAATGCTCGTTAGGAAATACATGCTTTTTATTTCAAAGTATTTCATGATGATTCATATTCGAGACTAATAATAAACTCGTATTGAGATGTTCAGGACTTTCTTATTTTTGAGAAGAATAACTCGTGGTTAAACTCGATAGCAAAACATGTGACATCTGTTTTCATGCACAGCCAACCAACCGGTGAAGCCAGCACCCTTGAGCCAGCCAACAGAAAAGATCTGTAGCTGGAAAAAATATTTCTTCAAAACAATTGAGCCAAGCTTCCATTTTTCATGCATCTCAGCTTCACGTGGCATTGGTGATATTGATCCATCTGAACAGAACAGAAGGTCAAACCTGGAATGAGTGGAAATGTCCTCTTTGTCTCACCGATGACTAAATGAAGCATCAGTCATGAGTGATCTTGTGGTCGACAATGGAGCCAGTAGGCACTAGAAAGCCTTTCCTGGGTCTCTTTAGCTAATCTCCCTGCCTCTCAGAAGGTTTAACTGGACTTAACAGTATGTCAGATCTTGAACAATATTTTTAACTGGTTTCACTCTCTCAGCACCTTTCCGTAGGTGCACTGCAGGAATAAGCCGATATAACAAAGCATAGCATGTCTACTTTCTTTTGCTGAACTACAGTATTTTCCCTTGGTGACTGACCTATATATACATGACAGAACAAAAATAGTTGTCATTTTTATATACACCTTTCTCAGTCTTTTTAATATACCCTGTTCTCGGAACCAAATCCAGAAATCTTTGCTGAAAAATCACACTTGCATGTTTGCAGTTTTTCTTGAAGTCTGTGAATCTCGTTAGAAGTGAAAGCAGATAGCCCAGTGGCCTGGCAGCAGCTCTGCGGCCGAGGTGAGTGTGCAGCCTCAGCACTCTCCAAAGTGCGTGTTGACAAGAGCCAAAGTGTCCACTTCTGGGAGGAGAAAGGTAGGGAAGCGAGCAGCCTGGCAGAGAACTGCCCTCGGGCTGTTCTAAAGGGTACCGCAGATGCTGTCTCAAAGGAGGCAGGATACACAGAAAAGGTGCTGTGATAGCTGAAAGCTAATTATGGGTTGTGAATAAGAAACAGGATCAGAGGTGATCCAAAACATAGAAGCAGACAGGAATTTTCTTCTGATGCCCTGGACCAGCTCTGTGCAGAAGGAGGCTAGTGGTTCCCCTTCGATTTTTGCTCATTATGTGGTTGGGTAAAGGAGCCGGGGTGAGAACCCTGGCAATCGTTTTTCTTACATCCAAAAGTAAAATAAACGGAAGATGAAAGCTAAAATTTGTAGCAGCTGTCGCTGCCCTCACCAGTACAGTTGATAAGGCCTAAACTTAGCCACTGACCTCAAGGACTCTACTGTCGTTAAACCCTGAAGAAAATGCTGCGGTGACGACTTCGTTTAGAAAATCTGGAACCCACAGGGCCTGTGCTGGAGCGTTTAAATCAGTGTCTATCTGGGATCGTAGCGACCGACTGTGAAGCGGTGTTCCGCACAAGCCCAGGCACATCTCACGGTTTCCTCTCTGGCTTGTGTTCATGCGATATCGTTTCCGGAAGGAGTTTCACAACTCCATTGTGTAGGTGTTTTTATCGGGAAGGTTGTGCGTTTTGCATATGTTCCTTTTCCATTTTCTACTGAGAAGCAGCTGGAAGCCAAAGAAGGCCCTATCCATCATCTCTTCTATGGCCGGACTCTGAACCTGGACACAAGAATAGGAGCCTTTCACTCAAAAATAAAGGAGGAAATTCCATTGACATACCAGGGTCAATCACCATCCAAATGAACTTGAGAAGGGATACTTTTCATGGATTGAAAACACTTTCACTATTCATATTCAACTCGCTCTTTTCAGATGCAAAAAAGTTCATTATCAGACATTAAATGTAATTGTAAAACTGACCTGGAGATCATTTACTGAAGAGAAAATGGGGTGTTACGATGGTTCCTGATTTATTAAGCTTTTTTTTATTTGGAACCCTTCATTTGAAGGCAGTCTCAAGTGAACAAATTTTAATTAGATAAACTATCTAATCAATATATCAACAGATCAATCAAAACAGCAGCTTTTAAAATGAGTGGCTAGAGGGGTGTTTCTGAAACTAATGGCTAGAAGAATATTTCCCTGAATTGAATTCATTTGTTAGCATAATAGGAGATTAAACTCTAATTAGTGTAGCAGGTTCTGAAGAGAAACAGTTGTGAGTTAAAAATCACCAGTGTTAGCCACATAAACAAAGATGTATTCGTGGTTGTCGTTCACTCCCTTTAAAGCGAAAAGTAAGAGGCTGTGGTGTTGTTTTGTCTTAAAAGAAGATCTGATTCGGTACCTATGTTTGTGGAAATACGCAGGATTTTTTAAATGTTGCTTTTTGTTTTCTTTTTCAGGTTGTTGTATCAACAACAGTCAATGTGGATGGCCACGTGCTGGCTGTCTCAGACAACATGTTTGTACACAACAATTCCAAACACGGGAGGCGGGCTCGCCGCCTTGACCCCTCAGAAGGTACGGCCCCTTCTTATCTGGAAAATGGTAGGCACACATTTACATGTCTTTTTTAATTTGCAATGCTTTTTTTTCTTTTTTTCTTTTTGGTTTTTTTTGCGCCATACTTTACGTTGATACACCACTACATTTACTTTTACATAATTTCGTCTGTCATCCATCAAACCACCCATTAGAAAAGTCCGTTAGTATTTCTCAGCCCTTGTCAACCAGAATACGGTCACCTCTGAATTTGCTGCTGACTTCTTTCTTTATTTAATACTTACAGTTTTGCAGTCATAACCAATTTTTCATCTTTTTCTATTTTTTTTTTCCAGTCTTGTTTTGCTTGCAGCTTTTTCTTGCTATTTAATTTGACTTGATTTTATTTTGGCTTGTCATATTCCTTGATCCAGAGGTACAGTCTCAGGTTATGTATGCAAGTTTAAGTGGATGGTAAAAACATGACCGAATCTGTAAAGAATTTACTGTGAGGTCAATTTCCTGTGGCTGGGCCTTACTGCAGATTACGGCAGGAGGGGGTTTGTATGAGAAAAACAGCATAAAATGTTTTTCTTCAGACTGACTCAATGTGATTGACTTCTTGCCTGAACTGCAAAAAGAAGATAGTCTGAGATGAAGAGGAGAATGGAAAGTGGCTCTGGAAATCCAGAATTGGGAAATACTATCTTTCTGGAGCCCATCAGCCTCCGAATCACCCGCACACAATTGCAGCTGTGCTCGTACACGTGCAGACATGTATTTATTCTCCCACCGAGCCCAAAATAATAATTTAGATTTAAAGATCACTTTCTTTGCACCGTGAAATACACTGACTTTAAGATACAAAATGACTCCCAGGTAACCTCTTTTTTCGTAAAATTAAAATAGATACAACAGAATAGAATAGAATAGAATAGAATAGAATAGAATAGAATAGAATAGAATAGAATAGAATAGAATAGAATAGGAATAGAATTTTTCAGTTGGAAGACCTACAATGATCATCTAGTCCAACTCCCTGACCACTCCAGGGCAGACCAGAATTTAACTGTATCGGGTTCAAATACATCTTCAGTTCTTACAGACTTAGAATTCTCAAAGCCACAGCGACTCCGCCTATGGCTGCGTGGCCAGGCCACGCGCACCAGTTTGCATGGGAGTCCTCTTGCGAGTTGTTACTAACATATTGACAGGATCATGAGTTTTTACACTAATAAAATTAATTAAAGGAGTAACAGAATACTAAGTTGCTAATACGATCATTGTCATTTTACGTTTCAAATAGTATTTACCAATGGGCACACAGAGAAGTGAATGAGGCAAGCAACAATTACCAGAAGGAAATATGATCTAGACATCAAAAAATGGAAAACGATTTACAAATCTGCTGCAGTCCGCACACACAAAACTAATTTGTTTTTCTGCATTAATAACTAAGGTATAAGAGAACAAAAATATAATAATTAAAGGTTGCCCTGAGCACCAGAGTCATTATGGTCTATGACGTATTGTTTATCTCTTTCATATGCACCGAAAG